TTTTTTTTATGTTGTGAATAATTCATATTTCAGAAAGACGAACCGATTCTATTGCTGACGTTGATGAGTGTAAAAAACTTTGAAATTTTAGAACACTAAACTGCACTATTCCCTTCGTCCTTATGACAGATTTCTAATAATTTTTACGTTAGACTAACTGTTCCGCTTGTTCTGTAAGTTGTCAAATTATTTCAGTTTTTGATACATTATGCTTCAACTATCACGGCATTTGGAAAGTACTTCAAATTGTGGGTACTTTATGTGTCAATGGCCTATTGTACGTAAACATAAAGTGCCAGAACAGAAAAACTTGACAACTATGCAACATTATTTGGTAAATTTGATTAAACATGCTTAAATCCTAAGGTAGAATACTGTTCAGTATGTTATTACCAGTTTTATAGCTTAAGGTCTATGCACTTTATGAGTTCCTTTTTCCTTTCCATTTTTTTTATTTTCGACAATTCAGCAAAAAAATAAGTAAAAGTTAAAATTGAGTCTTCTTAATTAGTTTTAATTAAAAAAAAAAGAAAAAAGATATGATAAAGAAGAAAAGTTGTAAAAAAGTATATATTTGATTATTATTATTATTCTCCAGCAATGTGTAAAAAAAATTGCTACCTCTTCGGATAAACCAATCAACAGAACGGAAAAAAAACTAATACAAATAAATTCCAGAAAAAAACTGCAGATCTGCACCAATTAAGTTTTCAAGCAAACAATCTTTAAGGCATAAAATTTACAACTGTCAAAAACGGATGCAAAAATAATTAAAAACTTGTTCTTTGCCAACCATTAAACATTCCTCATCAAATTTTATACGTGCACATTCTTTCAACTCTCAAAGTCGTATTCAAGCGCCTTTGACTGGTTAACAGTTAATTTCAGACCTTTGAACAAATCTGTTAATCGCTTATTTGTCTAAATTTTAATAATAGCAGACTAATTTAACCAACAATGTACTGTGATCAATCTGCATTGATCAATACCAAACTATTTATTGTACATCGATTTAGGCAAAACCTATGAGATGCATTTCAAGAGTAAGAATAAACAGTAAAGTTTAACGCTTTGTCTCACCTAATCACAGGTCTTTTGGCTACCGTTCCGTTTCGTTACATATCACGTGATAAAAAACTCACTGTAATTTATTGCAGGTTTTAGTAAACAATTAATGAACTTCATTATCGTCTAGTAAACCGTTAACCGTAGGCTGACACGATCAAGTCTTTTTTACAAACAAAATGATATCGAAGACACAAAAAAAAAAAAAAGAAACATGGAAATAAAAAATGCTTCTCAATATTCAGTTTGAGCTTAATTAAAGAGGATATACGAGCATCAAACGTTGATTCATTAAAAATGATTGAAAAAAGCAAAGTAAAGAAAACAAAGTCTAAGAAATCAAACTTACCGAAAAACTTTTTCAACACCTGCAAACTGTGGTTTTGAAAAGCCGATAATGTTGTTCAATTTTGGCATCTGAGTGTATTGATCACCGACACTGATCAGTACCGCAAATGTTAGCACAGCAACAATGAAGTAAATGTATTTCTTCTGTTTCCACGTAAATTTCGCTAAGGCGGAGTTTGGCTTAAGGGCGTTGGTTTTGAAACATTGGTTGCTGCTTACCGGCCGTCGTTTGTCATCATTTTGATGGCTTTGTTGTTCGGCATTCAAGCGATACAATAGCCTTGTGGTTTCGGCGATTACCTCATGTTGAACGATGTTCACCGGTTGCATTTTGG